TTTTAAAGCATGCAAAATAAAAACTAAAGGCAAAAGCAAATATGAAATAAAATCTTCATTTGAAAGTCAATTCATTTGGGACTGGAACCATTTTTCACCTGATCTTGCGGGCAGTTCTGGTTTCAGAGGCATTGGACATGGCTGAAACTTCACTGACATCACTATCTGATGATTTAAAGGACAGGCTGTCCCTCATCTGGAGGAGGAGTACAGGTGAAAAAGTGTGTGAGATTAAAATGGTTCATTTAGTGTTGCGACTTCGTAGCGCTGATTTACCTTTGCGGGGTCTTTCATCACACCTGCAGAGATTTAAGAGACATATTAGTTTAACACAACAATAAGGCATGTTCTTTGTCTGACATCACATATTTTTGGTCAGTGTGTAATTAGTTTATTGCGATGACAACCTATTTAGACACAGGAAATGCTCCCATAAACTATAGCAACAACACATTTGATGTTTCTCCCTCAGAAAACTGGACAAACAATAAAAATACCAAAAAAAAAATCTGTGATTAAAGAATAGCGAAAAACACGGTTTCGCTACTGGAAGGAATTTTCTTTCCTGAACAGACGGAAAGCAATATAAAACAGAAGAAGCAGTGCCTCTACCTTCTCTGTTTGCAGGTAACACTTCTCCTTCAAATCACAACGATGCATCAAAACAGAAGAAAATCAACAAACCCAACACAAACTCAAAGAATAAATCACTTCCATCACAAATAAATAAAAGAGCTGAACGTATTGCTAGTTTTGAGCTAGGCAATACAACAACCACAGATTTCATTGTGGTGTACCTCAGGGTCAAGTTGTTGGCTCTATTTCGATGTAAAAAGTTACGTGTCACAAGACTAAGACTAATTAAACAGGTAGAGACAATTCTACATCATCTCACAGCAGACTCAAACCACTAACACCATCGGGTCATTTGATCTAGACACTACCTGTCTACACATGGCTGTGTCATACCATTGGGTGTTTTCTTTTGCTGGTCCTGCCACGTTACTTCTGCATCATGCAGATAGAGATGTGTGATTGGTCAGACGACAGTGACACTCAGAATTCGGTTTTAGTGATCCAGTTAGTCATCGTCTATTTAATGTCCAAGGTAATGAGTGTAAGATCTACTGAACATCTCGTCAGATCACCCTCAGACTGAACTTGCCTTTTCTGGTCCCTCCAGGTGTAGCTGAACGTCTCTCTGGATCTGATACATGCAGGTGGCATGTGATGACGTCAACATGATGTAACAAACATGAATGTGCAATTGAATTAATGGCATTGATGGTGAAAAATGTTTGACAAAAGCATACATTTATGTTTATGTATTTATGTTTATTAATTGTCAAAGCACCAACTACTATTTCTACTGGTCGACACTGACCGGACAAATTTGTACACACCTGGAGTTTGAGGGGGCGGGGCTGGAGAAGGGGCAGGGCTAGGTGTTGGAGTAGGTAATGCAGATTCTGGAATAGCGTGTGACTGAATGTCAGGAGCTGGGGTCGGAACTAAAGCTGGATTAGGAGTAAGGGCCACAGCCTGGGAAGGTGGAGATGCTGGGCCAGAATTAGGGGCAGGTGTTGGAGGGGCTGTAGCTGCAGGAGCAGGTGTGGGTGCAGGTGCAGGTGTTTGTGTGGGCGTAGGTGCGGATGCAGATGCAGGCACATGTGCACGTAATGCTGCCGGTGTTTGTGCAGGTGTGGGTCCATGTGTAGGTGCAGGCACATGTGAAAGTGTGGGTGCAGGTGCAGGTCCAGGTCCATGTGCAGGTTGAGGCACATGTGAAAGTGTGGGTGCAGGGGCATGTAAGGGTCCAGGTCCAGGTGCAAGTTGTGGCACGTGTGAAAGAGTGGGTGCAGGTGGAGGTGCAGGTAAGGGTCCAGATCCAGGTGCAGGTGCATGTGCAAGTGCAGGTGCAGTTGAAGGTCCAGGTCTAGGTGCAGGCACATGTGCATATGAATGATTAGGTGCAGGTGAGGGTCCAGTTGCAGATGCAGGCACAGCCGCACTTGCAAGAACTTGGGCAGGTGCAGGCACATGTGCATTTGCAAGCATATGAGCAGGTGAGGATCCAAGTGCAAGTACAGGGGCAGGTGCACGCATAGACACGGGTGCAGGAGATGAATTGATAAGGTTAGATGTAGGAGGGGTAGGAGGCCCTTGGATTCGTATAAGAGGTGGTAGTTGATGATTAAGTGGAGGAGGGGTCTGCTTGTGGATGGGGGGAGGGACCTCTTGATATGGAGTAGGTGAGAGTATGGACGCTGGTGGTGCTCCTGGAGTTGGTATGGTCAAAACATTTTAGGGAGATAGAGAATGAAAAGATGATCAGAAATATAAACGAGAACATTGTGAGAGAATGAGAACAGCTGCATGACCAGATTCAGAGAGCAGCCAATCACATTTGGCATTAATTCCTAAAATAATGCAAAAAAAGCGACGCCGAGCATAGAAATGGTACAAATCCACGGTTATCATGAATCAGAAAACTTTTTTAAAAAATGCCTTCAGTTATTGAAAATCATTGGCCGATAAAAAGTTTGTTTAAAGAAAAGCTCACACTACACATTACACAGTTACTAAGTCAGCAGGACCTCTGGCTTCTCAGAAATCTAAAAGAAACTAAAGTGATCTATGAAAATCAGCCACAAGCTAGAGAACAAGCGTTTCCTTACAGACCTCCTAAAGTGGGTTCTCTAATTAACACCTCCATATTTACTCCTGCACAACTACATCGTTCTGAAAAAATATTCTATTCTAGTTCGAGGCAGGTTGTCAACTCTCAGGTGCTAAAGACCGTACCTGTCTGTACAGTCTCAGCGAGTTCTCCATCTGAAAGACACGACTCAGTGTTAGGCTGAAGCTTTCTACTCAGCAGAGCCAGGTAAACCACTAAAGGGGACACCCCCCAATAAATATCCTCCTCCAATGGATTTAAATCTTTACCCCCCAAAACACACACACACACACACACACACACAAACCCACCCCTCCAAAAAAATAAAACTCTACTAAAGAACAAAATAAAGTCCAGTAGGAGTGTGTGGTGGTGTATTTACCTTATTATTTTAGTGTGTATGGAAATTTTCATTTTATTTTTGGGGCAATGAGCTTTAGGCAGAGGGCGTGTAGACACTAGCCAACCACGGTGCTGGCTTGAGTGCCACCTGGCAGGTAAACAGCTGCTCCAGCATACGTACTTCTGTCTGGAACTCCTTTTGGTGGGACGACAGGCAGCTGGCGCCCTCGGCGAGTGCAGACCGCCGATCCCGTCGGGCTCGTGAGTGATGATCCACCTCGAGCGTTTGCTCTGATGTTAAAACAAACAAATCCAATCAGTAAAACACAGAAGTATCGAAGGGCCAGCCTGTCCAGATAAATAGAAGGTCAAAGGTCATGAGTCAACATGAGCACAGTCCTTAGAAATGAAAATTTAAGACTTGTTTGATTGGAACCCAAATGAATTTAGTCAGTTGATCCGCCGTCTCCAGTGATTACAGGGAGAGATATGATGAATTGATCAGTGTCAGTGTTACAACACAAAATGTGGGACATAACAACAAGTCTGTCGGGAGATCAAGTGAAGGACGATGTGGAAATCTCCATTTCCAAATGTCAAAAGTCAAATGTTTAATCTGATGCAAATTGATGAGTCAAGTAACAAGAAAAACACAATCAGCAAACAATAAAGAGATGAAAATGACCAACAGGTTCGAAAACGAAACATGCAACAAACAACAAAAAGGTTAGTCAACAGAAAAGATAAAATAAAAAGAAACAGCAGCTTGTGTGATGCCACTGATGCAAACGAAGGGAATGAGTTCAAACAAACAGGATGCCAGTCTTCATGCTTCAACTGAAAAAAAAATAACACTTAGCAAATGCCACAGAAATGGAGCTGCCTGCTGACTGGCCGGCAGCAGATCACCTGATCAGGGCAGGGGAAGGAGGGGCGGAGCGACCAGACCTCAGGTAGGAGGAGTCAGCTCTGTCGGTCGAGTGTGACCGCGTGTAGACGGGTCTGTCAGCCATGGCTCGGTGGTCGGCTGAGCGGGAGCGGCTATAGTAATCCCTCCGATCCATCCCCCGGCTGTACCTGCATATTACCATGACAACAGTCACCTGTTGTCACCTTGACAACCTCTGCATCTGGAGAATGAGTTAGTGGAGTTTATCCGCCAGCAGGAAGAAGTCTGTGAATCAAATTTGTGAGGCACTGTAGGCACCGGAAGAGAAAAAAGGCACCAGAGGCCAAAAGGCAGATTGGGCATCATAGACCTTCTACGTCTACAACAATCTAGAGCTACAGCTGTCTGTCCGTCTGAAGGTCAAACTGTCTGTCTGTTTACCTCTGCAGCTCCTCATCGTAAGCTTCAAGTTCATACGGAAAGTCGGGGATGAAATCCTGACTGAAGAACAGAAAAGCCGTCAAAATTCCAAAATATGAATCTCAACCTTTTTAATCTTTCTTCTCTAACTACATCACCCACAACCACCAGAGCTCACCTGTAGTCCTCACAACTCCCGTTGTGGTTTGTCCAGGTGTTTTGCGGACCGTTATTATATCTTTTATACAGGAAAACACATAATTGCCTTTCAGTTGGTTTAACTTGTCATCTGTAAAACTACTACTAGATCCAAAGTGCTTCTAGCTACAACAGAAGTACCTGTCGTAGGAATCAAGAGAGTTGCCGATAGAAAATCTCCTCAGCTGTCGCCTTAAAACAGAGAAACAGGCAGTGAGACCCGAAGTACACAACCTGTGGTTTAAACTACGCTAAACACTCACTCTGAACTGCCTCAGTGGGCAAAAGCAGCTGGACTAAAACCTGTAATTCCTCCAGGAAGTACCCAGATCCAGAAGTACCAGAGCAGCAAGACAGAGTACACTTAAGTCGGCACCTAGACCAGTTCTACAAACAACTACTACTAGTATGGTCTTGGTTCAGACCAAGCTTTGACACCCCAACTCACACCAAGACAAGTTAGGTGTGTTACCACGGTTACCTGTCAAGGCTGCTGTACTGAGTGGCGTCAGAATACGCTCGACTCAGTTTGGAGCCTCGAAGCAGCCGCACAGCATCCTCTCGATACAACGGATACAAGGGGTTACCGCTAGCAACCAGAGGTCACGGGAATAGAGAGAGAGAATGGAACAGTGTTGTGGTAAAATAGGAAAAGACGTACTGTTTACACCGAAAAGTGTAAATCCAAAAGATAACCCAATTCATCTAACTTTGCTGTTAGGGAGCACCTTAGCTCTAGTTTCAGTCTTTCTGTCTGATCCTTCATCAGGTGTAGCTACGTACCTCTGAGGAGGAGGTTGGCTCGGCGATTGTGACCTCCTCACCATCTCCAACCGGGAGCAGTGATTAGATGACATCACTTGTTCTGGCACAGACAGGGTGGAGCTGTGAAAGTCCCGCCCATTTTGTCTGTAATCTGCATAGAAAAAAATTAGATATAGTAAAAAGCGTGTGTTGCCATAAGCAGCCAGACAGACCACCTTTTGTTTGATGTTCAGAGTAAATTCAGGCTTCAGTGGGTTTACTGTAGTTCAGCTGTGTAACCAAGGGGAAATACTAGAAAACTTTAAAGATGTGGAACAATCAGCAATAACTTTGTGTTTATATGGATCCATCAGTATAGAACACCAGGTTTACCTGATATCACCCCAATGCCGTCCTCACAGTCGTAATCTGAAAACTCACTGTCACTGATCCTCTGAGACCCTACACAGAGAGATAGAAGGAATATGTTAAAATTCACACACACACGCACTCACACACACACACACACACACACACACACACTGCATTGTTACCTGCGTTAAAGTAATGACCTTTGTCTGGAAAAGCATCATACGAAGTAAACAAAAACAGAAAATGACATGAAGAAATGAACACGATAAACAGAAGACAAAAAACATCCAAAGTAAAAGAAAAAAACAATAAATGTTCATAAAACTGACATAAAAGCAACAACAAGGATAAAAAGGACAAGTGTGTGTATAAGTGTGAATGTGTGTGTCGTTTCTGCATATCAGTGTGTGTCTCACTCTGAAGCCTCCTCGGTGACTGCTCGGCCTGCAGCCCCCTCCTCTGTAGGTATGGAGAGGCATTAGGGAGAGGCAGGGAGGAGACATCATGGAGCTGCATTTTGTACCAGTGAGGCTGATCATCCAGCAGAGCCGACTCCAGTTCTATCAGAACCTGATGCAGAGACGGAGAACAGCAGCACAGTGAAGACATTTAGGAGATGAGTCCCACTCCCACACTCCGAGGGCCCTCACCTCCCCGAGGAACTGGCTTTCCTCTTCTCTCACTCTGGCCTGGTCCCACACAGTTAGCTCCAACATCCGCTCTCTGAACTCCCGCCGATGCACCGGAGAATACATAAACGTCTGATTCCAACGAGGTTCCAGTGACTTCTTCACCGTCTTTGTCCTACGTTTACTTTTATCACTGCAAAGACAAAAAGAGAACAATAAAAAACACAAAGAGAAAGACTTCTTGGTTCATGAAACCAAATTATTTTGGTGTTGTTTTTTTTTTTTTTTGCCTTCGGTCCGGCAGGAAGTAGACCTTGACATAGGGGTTCCGAGGGCGGCCGTCATCCCGCACAGGAAGTTCTTTTGCCCCGAGAACAGTTACGATCAGCTGATGGCCAACTTTATCATACCACAGTTTTATCTATAAAAATAAATAAAAAAGAAGACACCACGAGAGAATCTTTAGAACAACAAACCCAACAATGAGGTTATCCCTGCAACAGAATGTTTGGATCCGTACATCTGTGCAGGACAATGAGCTGAAAACATGAGCAAGGAAGAGGGCCGACACTAGTATTAAAGCATGTACAATGTAAGGCAGTAGCTCACAGAACCCCACATAACAGAGACAGGAACGGAGCATGACCTAGGCAGAGAAAGTTAAAGAAAGCTAGAGATCAAAGATTTTGACCTTAAAGTCCTCCAGAACCAAAACAGAACTGAACCAGAGAAATGGAAAGGAATAGGAGGAACCCATAATAGATAACATTAGCTCTAGTAACAGAATCAAACCTTTATGGATAGACAGAGAAGAAATTGGAAGCTATTAGAATAACGAGGCTGATCTGAGAACAGATCTGAACAAAGTTGCTGAACAAACGAAACATGTGGACATCAACTCACGTCACCAGAAACAATTGTGCTAAACGAGTAAGTGAGTACAAAACTGAAAGCCTCAGTAATCGATCGATCGACCTATCAGCCATTCAGACTAGAGGGATCTTGTGAAACCAGATTACACACTGCTGATGGGGAAACTAGAATATCCAAACTCTATTTCCACCCTACATGTCTGCAGCCTAGACTAAACTACAGAATAAAGACAGATGGATCACCGGTGTCCAGGGGCGTGTCCAGGGAGTGGCCTGGGGTAGCACATGCCACCCTTAGAATCTGATTGGCCACCCAGGTGCCACCCTACCAAGTTCCAGTTTAAATTGACTTTACATTGTCGACAAAAGGCTTGAGTTGTAAACTCCAAAAATAGTGTGGTAGCACGCACCTTTAACACTGTTTACTAGCCCAGGCCTACAGAACATTTCTGTAGTATTAATATTATTTATTATTTTTTCATATTTACATAAATAGTATTTAGAGTCCCACTCAACTCCAGTTGGTGGCAATAATGCAACAACAAGTGACTTGCTAACCACCCCAAAACTAGAAGATGAATAGAAAAAAATGGTGATTGTGCAGTGTGAAACTCCAAAAATTCACTAGAAAGTAAATAAATAAATAAACGATTTGTGTAAATAAATAAATAAGCATAACCATTGGTGCCACCCATACATAAACAAGTGCCCCACATGGGCCACCCCATTTTAAAAGTCCTGGACACGGCTCTGTCGGTGTCTAAATTCTATCAGTTCTACAGTTTACCTCGATTCTTGGAATCAGGGGACGCCTGTTCACAGTCTGAAAACACACACACATCACCATGCAAACCAGCGTTCACTAACCGTACTGACCGTGGGACGTGAGATGCTGATAAACTTACAGAAACTTGTCCAGACAGAACGCTGGGACTCAAAGGGGACGTGACAGAGATAGACGGACCGACTTTCTGAGAGTCAAAAGAGCAGGAACCTGAACACAGAACACAGAGTTTAACTCCCACCCTAAAAACAGTCTTTTGGGTTGATTCTGGTGTAATACTCACTGGAGTCCAAGCCGTGGACAGAGACATCAGCTGTTCTAGGAACATCTCTGTAGAACACAAATCAACAGGTATTGATAAATGTTCTAATAAAAGTCCAATCTTCAGATGAAAGATGAGACGAAACAACAATACAGTCTGACACCGGCTCACCTGATTGGTCGGCAGACCACCAGCTCCACCTGTGGTTCTGGTTTCGATTCCATGATGATGTTGTAGACTTCATTAAACGTTGCGCCCTGAAGAACCCGGCCGTTCCATTCTAGAACCTGATCACCTGAGACAGAAAACAAGGTTTCATCGAGAGCAGCAAATACAAGACCTCAGAAATGCAACGTGCATATCAAAATAGTTGCTTTACTTCAAGAAATGAGTAAGTTAAGTAAAATATGGTACAATAACACTACAGTTAACATAATATGGCAGCTGAACAATAGACACACAACTGTGAACCAAAATCATTCCACGTGTTTACCTGGTCTCAGATGTCCAACAGTGTCAGCCAGACTTCCCTTCTTCACTTTGGTGATGAATGCACAAAGACGACCAGACTCGGTCATCTTCCCCCCGACAACCTGGAAACACATCGCCCGTGAGCAAGGCGTTCCCTAAACTTCACCCAAAAGGATAAAAGATGAGGAGATTTAGGATTATTGCCTTGAGTCCCAACAGGGCTCCAGTGTCTGCGGGAACTGTTCCGTCCTTCATCCTTTTGTTCAGCACAATTCGACCAATCAGGCGCTCTCCATCTTTGGATGGTTGCCACGTGACCGGTTGCTGATGAGTCACAATCATAAACACATATGGTTTATGCCAGAACATTCACAGAAAAAGTTATATTTTACATTGAAATATAACAGTTATGGTTAGATTGATCAGGATGGACTTAAGTTTATATCTACCATTGACATAGGTGCAGGCTCGCCATGCCAAGAACCGTGATTCCACCATTGGCTCTCCATGTCTCCTAGAAACAAGAGATAGGTCAAAAGCTTAATTTAACTACATTTTTTACCAAATACCTTTCATCTGAAGACTTATGTTAAATCTGACTTAATGATGCTGCACACAATTACCCAAAAGTCAGTCTCACACAACTGTTCTGTATATAAACTACAGTCAGACATCCAAACAAAGAAGCCACCCATCAATAAATCTAGATCAAAGGCAAAAGGCATGTTAATGAAGTCATGCCTTTGCTTTTGAGAATTACATGAATATTAATTGTCACAAAGTTTTCTGCCTCAATTATTATGATGTCAGTTTACATAAACTCCTGACATGTGATTGCAAAGTATTTCTCAGATATGAAAATGAACAGCTGTGATGGCAAGAACGCTAACATCAGACCCGTGTCAGACATCCTGAGACCATTTATGTGTGGAGTTTCATTGCCAAGGAATTGGACTCACTCAGTTTAGCCACAGAACACAAACGAGAATAAAGAAAAGTACCAAAACATCCTCCCTGAGGAACACCTCTTAACCATGTAAGAAAAGTTTTGTGATGAACAATGACTTTTTCAGCATGATGGAGCACAGTGATCTAAGTTTAACACTATAGGGAACAAATAACATCAATATTCTGGGTGCATGTCTATAAAACTACTTACATTAAAGGTGTTTGCGGCAGATCTATCTGGCATTCATTCAAAGTCTGGATATTACTAATACATCCTCCAATGTTGCGTGTGTGCTCCAACATACTTCTCTTTCGTTTTCCTCTCATCCAACAAGGATGTTAGGAGTAGCTAAGGCTAGTATTAGCAGTATCTCAGGCTAGCTATAGCAGTAACTCGGGCTAGCATGGCTCTGCAGTTAGCATTAGTGCAGCCAACATTTATATATTGCCAACGTTGAAGTGGGTAGCAACAAGCAAATGTAAAGGTGTGTTTCTAAACATATGACGTGTTATACCAGCTTTTCTCAGAATGAAACATTTCAAAGCGGCCATTACAACATTGCTAATTTACATAGCATAGCAGATCAGAGACAGCACAAGCTTTTTAGCAAAGGTGTAACCAAGTCACTGCTTTGTAAGTCACAAGTCTATCCAGTCACCTCTCGAGTCAAGTCCAAGTCAAAGACAACCAAGGCCAAGTCAAGTCCAAAGTCAATGATGTGGAAGTCCAAGTCAAGTCCAAGTCCTTAACTTTGAATTTTCAAGTCATAATCAAGTCATCTGTCCAACTTCAATTTAATGACAATGATAATAAATAAATTCCAGAAATAAAGTTTCTTAAACTTAATTTATTTTCTCAAACAAGAAGAAAGTGCAACTGAAACTGATTAAAAACAATGTGCTGCTGCATTTAGCAGTGAATCAAACCCTGAATGAAGAACGATTTCTGAATTTTGACCCTGTTGTGCCACTTTTGTGCTAAAATATCAAATATGCTCAAGTCCTCATCAAGTCAACAGATGCAAGTCAATTCAAGTAGCAAGCCATTGGCGTTCAAGTCCAAGGCAAGTCCATCCATCCATCCATTGTCTGAACCCGCTTTGTCCACGTAGGGTCGTGGGGGGGCTGGTGCCTATCTCCAGCGGCCAATGGGCAATCAGGCGGGGTACACCCTGGACAGAGAGCCAGTCCATCGCAGGGCAACACAGAGACACACAGGACAAACAATCATGCACACACACACACACACACACACACACACACACACACACACACACACACACACACACACACACACACACACACACACACACACACACACACACACACACCTAAGGACAATTTAGACAGACCAATTAACCTAACAGTCATGTTTTTGGACTGTGGGAGGAGGCCGGAGTACCCGGAGAGAACCCACACATGCACAAGGAGAACATGCTAACTAAGTGCAGAAAGACCCCAGGCTGGGAAGCGAACCCAGGACCTTCTTGCTGCAAGGCAACAGCTCTAACCACTGTGCCACTGCACAGCCCCCCAAGTCAAGTCGTAAGTCTTTATAGATTTTATCAAGTCAAGTGATAAGTTATTAAAATAATGACTCGAGTCTGACTTGAGTCCAAGTCATGTGACTCGAGTCCACACCTCTGCTTTTTAGTATGGGTGCATTTGACACCCAAAGCTGACAATATTCAAAAACAAGGTACACGTGGCTTTGAATTAAAATCTCCAATCCTCAAGAGATTGGTGGGATCTTGAAATAGAAGAACCAGAAATTATTGAATTTTTCAAAACTAAAATTAGCTTTTAACAAATGCTGCTGAAACTCTTAAGTACACCAAAGCAATAGACAACAACGACGATTTCAAAACACAGAAGATGCTACATTTGTGGAAGCCAATGCTTGTGTCATGCTCACACCCTTTGGCCGAAGTTGTACACAGACTGGATCTGAACCTACGAATCAGAGGGTGGTCACTTAGTCATCTCCACTCTCAGCATCATGCTGCCATTAAACAGCTCCAGTGTCTGCTGTACTCACAAGTCTGTGTGGATGCCATGAAAAAGGATGATGCTTCACAGGTAAAAGGAAAATAGCAAGAGGAGGAAGCAAATGTTCAGTTCTGCAGTCATCCTTGAGTCTTCTCCGAGTCTGGGATTGTAATTTTTCCTGAGCTCTGCCTGCAGGCTCCAGAGCAGGCCATACCTGTCGGTAACAAGATTAACGCAGACTAAACACAGAGTCCAGCTTTTGGCTAGTGATTTCACTGTTAGCTTGTTGTTTGTAAGCTTCAGTTTGGAAGTCTGACAGAGATCTGTCAGGTCAGGTCAGACGGTGGTGAGTTGGGAGCAACATCTCAGTTGCACGCTGCCCTATTATCTCTGTGCACCAGATCAGAATCAAAAGTCTCAGAGATAAATCCAGATGTTCCCAAGGAAATCGCAAAAGCTCCAATCATTCCAGGTATCTAGCCCTGCTTATGACCAGCCACCGAGGTGAGTGGGCACACATGATGTCGGCTGTTGGTCCACAGGTCCGTTCCCTCCTGGATGGTGCGTTTCTATTCCTGTTTCTTTGCAGTGACTCCTGATAATCCACACTCTTCCCTTTTAATCCAATTGAACAAAAGCTGACACGGTGATTCGTAGCCCAACAGCACTCGGAACAGCCAGGTCGTGGTGTTCTGTCCCAAGCAGGATTGGATTATCAGATGGGTTCTCCAGAACCCTCCAGAGTTTTTCCAGCTGTGGACCAGTTGGGTGGTTGATGGGTTTAGTGGTTCGTCATTCAGTCCAGGTGTCCTCAGTAGAGCAGCATCGGAGGCTCTGAGCTGCTCTATCACCTCTGAACCTGAGGGGTGGAGCCAGGAGCCTTCTGAGCCAATCAGAGCTCGTCGTCTCTGATGACTCTAGCACTAAGAGCAGATTAACTGGTCAGCATGATGCCTGATTTCCTGTGAGAAAACCTTCAACAACTGAAACACTTCCTTCAAGCACCACAGATGTTCAGAGCTGGAGAATAATGAACTAGAGGTGCTTTTTCTCTCGGATACTTTTTGCGTGGAACTCTACTCTCATTCTGAGGTAGAGCCATTTTTATGTCAACAATTCCACACCAAGACTCATGGTCCAATAGATAATACTTCCCAGGAGCTAAACCTTAGCTATATAAATAAAACTAGCAGAAACAATTAAGCAGCTAGCTAATTCCTCGTCACTAAATCATGAAATGTCATCAAAGTGGGACTGAAGATGACAAAGATGATAAAAAAAAGACAAAAAGGGGTCAATGTTGTCTTTTTTTCCAAAACTAATTGCTGTCAATGTCAAAGCTTTATATTAACCTAAAGCTTGATAAACTCATGCTACTGCTAAAATAAAAAGAACTGGGACCATCTCACATTCACAAGTGCATCACCTCGAGCCCTAAAAGATCAATTTTGATGGTTTCTCAGTCTGTTTTCCTCCGAAATAATGTTTCTGTTTTCAGTTGTATGAAGATCTAACCAACAGGTGTGACAAGATCAGACCCTAAAGAACCATAAAGATTAGTTTCTGCATTATTAGATCTAGAAACAAAATGTAAATGAATGCCAGAAGATACAAACTAATTCACAACTCCTGAAAACAGATGGAGAAACTACTAGGAACCATAGAACCCGTTATCGAGGAACACAATGCAGCATTTATGGAACTAAAGAGCCATAGAAACATGAAATAATATGAGGTAAATGTAAATTTACAGAATGGGTGCAGTGAAATAAGTTTGTAGATAAGATAAAACTACACCAACACAGGTCATAGGTCACACCACAGACATCCTGGTCACACTCACAGAGTTCTCACTAGAGCCCTCTAGTGCGAGGCTGAGGAAGTTCAGGGGAAGCTGGCTGGAGGTGAAGCCAGATTCAGCTGTAAGAGGATTATCACACTGAGCTAATTTAAATCAGAGGCAGGGAGAAAACATTCTCCGTGTCTCAGGTTCAACCCTCGCATACCTGTTTCTTTTCACTCCGCTTCAAACCTGAGAACTCACAACATCAGACTGAAGGTCACACGTTCGAGAAGCAAGGCTCCTCAGATGAACCAAGAGAACATTTGAATACATTTTTATGCTTAGAATGTAAAAATATCAAGCTGAGATTTACATCTCAGTCTATTTCATCCTATTCTTTGTTTTGCACGTTCTGTTATTTAAACCCTTTATCTTGACCCACAGGTTACATCTTGTTCAATCCCTGTTTAGTATTTTACCCTTTGATGTGACTTACAAGCTAGATCTCTCACCCTCTGCTTTGTTTCACAGGGTGCGTCGCTTTAACCCTTTATTTGGGTGTATGTGAATTTTCTAAATTAACCTTTGCTCCATACATTGAAGAAGTTAGATTTAACCCTCTGACTTGTCTCGAAGGCCACCCTGGTGGTGTGTGCAGCCATCCACCCCGATGAAACCACCCATCAGTGTGTGGCCACTCACTGTCAGGCTCATCGCAGCTGGTGTATTCAGGTGTGGTCAGTAGCTCCTCCTCTGAACTGCTGAAGCTACCGATCACATGCATCTTCCCAATCATTCGCCCCCGCTGTGCCAGGCTGTCATTGGTAGGTTTTCTCTTGAGGGCGGAGCTTGGGTCCAGGTGTTGCTGTGGCAATGGGCTGCGGCGGGGAGACGTGGGGCTGATGTGACTACCTGCCCTGTCAACAGAGAATGACCTCTGACCTCCAGATCCAATCAGTCCCTGAGGTCGGTTCTGACGAACACCTGAGAGCAGAAACAACAAGTCAAGCTAATGGCTGTGCAGAAACAAGCGGTCAGCAGGTAGTCGGATGCTTCCTCACCTGCGTGTCTCAGGTGATGGTGTTCGGGTTCAGTGATTGCCAAAGAGACATCACTATGGCGACGCTGGTGACGGACTCTGCCGACCTGAGCCAACATCTTCATAGTCTCCTCACTCGGCTGTGGCTTCACTGGGTAACGAGCCAGATTTGGGTCACTACGGTAACGAGCCTGAAACTCCTCTTCCTGCCGTCGTCTCTGCTCTTGATCAACCAGGACCTGGTCCAAGGGGTGGTCCTGATGCAGGAGGGAGGAGAGCTTAACATCTTCCTCATAAACTAAGGTTTAATGGTCATTATATAGATTGTTTAACATGGATCCTTAGATCAAACTCAGAATACTAATATTATTTTCTCTGTTCTGTTTTACACACTCACTTGTGAATGCCAGCGGCCTCGACTGTCTTTGATTGGTCGTCTCTGGGCTCGTAGCTCTGCCTCTCCATTTCCATGGTAAGTGTGCAGCAAGCGATTGCGGCGATCCAGACCATGTTCAGAAGGTGAGCGAGCCATCCTGCCACCGCCACCATCATAACACGACCCGGATGGGCTCCGCCTCCTGTCAAACACACAGAATGGACCAATTAGACTCAAACTGTCTTGTTTCAAACAGATCGTGCAACATTTTCTTTTTTTCTTTCTTTTTTTTCCGTGTCCTGTCCGGCTGTGAAGCAAACAGAATTGATGTCTGAATGCTGGTAACAAGCCTTACAGATTTACTCTCAGGTGGAGCATCAAAGCATCTGCTTTTACTGTCACGCCTGATACTTAAAGCGTTATTGTTATTTTTTTGAATGCTTTTTAATTCCAACCAGACACGGAGACAGAGGTGAAAGAGCAAGGAAGAGACAAAAGATGGGGGGGGGGGGGGGTTTCCACAAAAATAAACAATAATGAACAAGAATCTGCTTCTAGACCTGCAGATAGAGACAAGGAAAAAAAAGCAAAAGAACCAAAAAAAAAAAAGGGATACAACAAGATCAAGCTATCACTGCATCTGTTGCCAGTCCCCACATGCCAAAGACAGTGGCAAGTACGGGGTCAAAAGGTGAGCCACACTGAACTGGCTTGTGCGAGCAAAATCAGCCAGAAGACAGGAGCTGGGCTGCAGGTCAAAAACTGTGGTCAGAAACAAGGGTCACACAAGGGTCAGAAGGACAAGAGGACAGAACTGGGTGAAAGGTCAGGAGGCTGGCCCCACCCCTGGATCCACCCCTGGCTGGGAAAGATGGGATTGGAGGAGAACAGGATGAAGACAAGCCCATCAGATCCAGAAGCTCTCTCGGGAACATTGGAGAGAAACTGAAGAATGCTGTAAAGGATGATGTAATGACCTGTGTTAAGAAGAATGCTGCATGTAGTGAAAATGACACCAAATGTTTTGTGTTGAGCTACAAAGTGTGTATCTGGTAAATGACCCCCTGACCTTAAGCTGGCCCAGGAAGGGTATATAAGAACAGCTCTGAACAGCAGAAGAGGCAGATTGAGAGAGAGAGCTGGGGCAGGCGACAAGAAGAGACAGAGCAGATTTGGAGGGGTCATCCCCCGTCCAAACCTGGATGGGGGATGACAGAAGAGACTCTTGGGGGATTCCAAGAAGAGAGTTTTTGGGGAGATTCTCAGAAGACAGGAGCTAGTGTAAACTAACTCTTATTTAAACATTTTGAACTAATTCCTCCTTGGGGGATAGCAGTTGTTTTTTATTTACCCATTTTTGTATTTTTGATTTGTAATAAACCTTTTTTGAAAAAGAAACATAATCCTGATTATTTCAGGTTTTCTCTAAAGCTTCACGAGTGGGGACCCTGACCATTAATTGCACAGAGGTAAGCACATTAATTATGGGTTCTTGAATTATCAGGACTTACTTTACGGTTTGTGACAGATTAATATAAAGAAACCTTAAGATAACAGGATTGCTTAAAAAGAAGTGAGCTACTACAGAAGGAAAAGTCTTACATATTATTTCACCTTTAAAATAAAAGATATGATTCTAACTTAGGACGCCCAACCCAGGGTCTGATACTATAATACTCACCGACATCCCCATCGAACCCTGATGGATGCAGTCTCATAAGTTCTAATGGAACTGGGTTTTAACGGAACCGACAAATGGGACGGGCACGCGACATGGCGCAACAACGTGGAGCTACGGAGTGAAGGTCTAAATATTAGATACCGGGCTATCTGACGTAGAACTGTCTTTTAGGCTGATAAAAGCTTGCGCGCTAAGGACCTATTAAGCTTATAACCTTGGAGTGAAAACCGCACCAGTTTCTCGAAAAGGAAAGAAATCTGGGAGAACGGACGATTAACTTAAAAAGGTATAAAGAAAATACGGCATTCCGACGCAAGAAAAGCCAAGGATAAAAGCTAGGCAAAAAATAAAAATAAATAAAGAATAAGAATAAAAAATAAGACGTGAAAACGAATAAAAATAAAATAAATAAAAATAAGAAAAACTTTTAACCAGCCATGGCAGATAGATCTTTCAGTATCCTGTAACCGGAGCTTTCAGAATGAGGCTGGAAAAGCTAGTATGGAGCTGCGGCGGGGCGCTGTCCGGGTGCTGAGGCACAAGTGAGATGCGATTAAACGTCATGGCTGGATTAAAATCTAGTGAAGGACTGATATGTAAGAATCTGTGTGACTTGGGCCTCGTTTCTGGTAACACGGGGAGGTATTTGTCACGAACTGTAATCATGTTTCCTAGCTTCACAGAATCTCCTGTCGGGCATCGTCACGCGCAATGGAGGCTGGAAGCCGGGAACATGTATAATGTGTGAACCTCTGTGTCGGGGCTCCGTGAGGGGAGAAGCCGTGCCGCCTGTAAAGGGGACGGACTTATAACTGGGAGCATTGGAACTCTGCTCCAATTAAACTTTGTTTTTAGAGGATCTGCTTGAGACAAGCACCTAGCTTCCGCTCTCGGCAGCCTGCAGATATGAGAAGAGACAGCTGAACAGAGAAAAAGCACTCAGTCAGCTGAGCAACAAGTGACAAGCAGAATGTGCAGGATGTGGTGACATCACCCCTCCCCCTACTAGTTCTGTTGAGAAGGGAGAGTCCTGAACTAACAGCTCCGTATGATTCTGACCTGACAGACAGCTACACTAATAATGCGTAAGCATCTTTAACCTTGCCACATTTGGTGTTGTTGGCAGGATCCATGTAGTACTGTCAAGTAGGTCCGTGGATGTGAAGTTTGTGGTACCCTGCACGGGAGCACGAGGACGCGCTTGTGGAAAGAAGGGAGGAAGATGTGACAGTGTGAGCGTTCTGTCACAATGTCTTAATTGATAATGCGCCCTGGCCACTTGGTCAAAGGGATGTCCCTTTGGCTGAGTGGTAAGAGCGCATGACTCCCACCTTGGAGGTCTTGGGATCAAATCCTGCCTGGGCCCTCATTTATCCACCTTGCCACACTTTATAGTTTTTAGCGTAAGCTTCCCACCAGCAGCTGCTAGCAGAGTTAGCTTGTTGCTGTTCAGGTGTGTGAGGAGAATATTTCAAGCTCTGCAGTAAAAGATGTCTTCAGTCTGGAGGGAGAGAGTCTCTGCTTGAAGGAGGAGACTGAGATGTTCCAACCAGCAGCTCAGCTGACCAGATGGCAGCTGAAACTGGTGGAGAAGCAGGAACCAAGATCTGAACCCTCATGAACAAACATCTGGTTCTTCAGAGACTGAAGTGAGTGATGATGATGATGGTGTGTATCTGGACTCTGAGCTGTCAGAATCTGGGTCTGAGACTGGAGATGAAGTTGATCCAGAGGAGGAGGCAGTCCCACCCCAAAGAAGGCTGCTGCAGTCCCCTGGCTAGATTTTTCTCGCATGGGGGATGTTGCCAGTCCCCACATGCCAAAGACAGTGGCAAGTACGGGGTCAAAAGGTGAGCCACACTGAACTGGCTTGTGCGAGCAAAATCAGCCAGAAGACAGGAGCTGGGCTCCAGGTCAAAAACTGTGGTCAGAAACAAGGGTCACACAAGGGTCAGAAGGACAAGAGGACAGAACTGGGTGAAAGGTCAGGAGGCTGGCCCCACCCCTGGATCCACCCCTGGCTGGGAAAGATGGGATTGGAGGAGAACAGAATGAAGACAAGCCCATCAGATCCAGAAGCTCTCTCGGGAACATTGGAGAGAAACTGAAGAATGCTGTAAAGGATGATGTAATGACCTGTGTTAAGAAGAATGCTGCATGTAGTGAAAATGACACCAAATGTTTTGTGTTGAGCTACAAAGTGTGTATCAGGTAAATGACCCCCTGACCTTAAGCTGGCCCAGGAAGGGTATATAAGAACAGCTCTGAACAGCAGAAGAGGCAGATTGAGAGAGAGAGCTGGGGCAGGCGACAAGAAGAGACAGAGCAGATTTGGAGGGGTCATCCCCCGTCCAAACCTGGATGGGGGATGACAGAAGAGACTCTTGGGGGATCCCAAGAAGAGAGTTTTTGGGGAGATTCTCAGAAGACAGGAGCTAGTGTAAACTAACTCTTATTTAAACATTTTGAACTAATTCCTCCTTGGGGGATAGCAGTTGTTTTTTATTTACCCATTTTTGTATTTTTGATTTGTAATAAACCTTTTTTAAAAAAGAAACATAATCCTGATTATTTCAGGTTTTCTCTAAAGCTTCACGAGTGGGGACCCTGACCATTAATTGCACAGAGGTAAGCACATTAATTATGGGTTCTTGAATTATCAGGACTTACTTTACGGTTTGTGACAGATTAATATAAAGAAACCTTAAGATAACAGGATTGCTTAAAAAGAAGTGAGCTACTACAGAAGGAAAAGTCTTACATATTATTTCACCTTTAAAATAAAATATATGATTCTAACTTAGGACGCCCAACCCAGGGTCTGATACTATAATACTCACCGACATCCCCATCGAACCCTGATGGATGCAGTCTCATAAGTTCTAACGGAACTGGGTTGTAACGGAACCGACAAATGGGACGGGCACGCGACACATCAACTTGATGAAGAAATATACAATCAACATTGTTTAACTGAACAATCACACGATAATAAATCACAGTGCATTAAGTGCCCATCATAGCCTTAAGACCTGTGTTGAACGTGCCCAAGTCCATACTTATGAGAGCACCATGTGAGCACCTGTGTGTGTACACGTGCTTGTTTATGTAAGGTTTCTCTATAGAAGTGTCCAATAGAGAGTGTGAGGGAGCACAGATCTGCCCCCTAAAGATGTGCAGAAGACGGAGGGAGCTCCAAGTCCCAGAGATCCAGGAGTTGCCCCAGAGCAAGGAAATCCAGGTAGACTGCGACCAGAAAGGCCCCCGCTCTCCTCGAGAGGCACAGAGGATCACCCCGGGGGGTCACAACCAGCAGCCGGCAGAGTCCCGGGAGATATCAGCGGCAAGCCTACAGGCCCACCTGCAGCCTCCCACCCCCTAGCCGGCCGAGCCCGGGACCCAATGACCCGAGACCCAGGGGCGACCACCCCCGCCGGGGACCCAGCAGAGCCCAAGGACCCAGACCCCACCAGGCAGCTACTGGGATTGGTCAGGCAGATGCCAAAAATCTTAAACTCTGT